ATTATCGAACAAGCTAGAGATAAACAAGTATTTGCTTATTTATTGATTCATTTTTAATATAAGTCAACTGTTCGTCAAACAATGACTGAACTAAGAGATAATTATGAAAAAGTTCAACGAAAATTAGAAACAGCTGATGCCAATTTAAAAAAGTTTCTGTTTTTATTATCTAAAATAAAAAATGTTTTAATGATTCTTTGATTTGTTCTACTTCTCATTTCAAAATATAATGTGCCCCATTGGTTTTTTTTGAATAACTTTTGATAGAAACATCATAGAGATCTTCGGCTTTCACCATTCAAGAGAGATGATCCGAAACCTTCCAAAATTCTCGCCAAGAACTGATCCAATTAGCTAATGAAATTTTGATATATTTCGATTGCTTTGGATCTTCTCTTTTAAATGGTAAAAACCGCAGGTCTCTGTAATATTCCTATCAAAAGTTATTTAAAAAACAACGGAGCACACCTTATTTTGAAATGAATAGTAGTTATTATCGTTAAGAAAAGAAGTCAAAAATACTGCATTTCTAAACGTTTTGCGTTCACTTTACTTATTGCAGATAATAAGATCATCTTTCTTATCGTTCAATATGGGTCAGGTAAATGGATATAGTAAAAAATAACTTGTGTTGCTTCATTTTTTTTGACGAATTTTCTCTTATTTTTTGTTCCTAATACAAACAATTGAATGTCAATTATTATTAGTATAGAATGAGTTTTACTTATTTAGAACTCGACAACAAGATTTCTATGATCAATATTCATCATCATATAATGATTCACATTATTGGCATGGAAATAATTCAAATTCATATGATTTTTATGGTTCAACATTCATCTCATACACTTTCACAACAAAATGGTTTTATTCAACAAGTTTATCTTAAATATAAACAAGAATGTCTTGATGGTAAAAAAAAACGTTGATTGTAGAGAAAAAAAAAGGTTATTAGTTCAGTACATATTTACAATATTTCGAGAGAAACAAGCTACTGGTAAAAAAAGATTGAAATTATGTTGCATTGAACGTATAAAAAACGAGTCTTTTAATGACTAAAGAAGAGTCAACATATCTAGAAACAACAATGAAAATTACTCTCCGGTAAAAATCAGAGTCTAGAAAGACTTATATTCTTATTTAAATAGATAATTGAGAATATGTCTGTCGCTATAATTTTCAAAAAAAAACAAAGATTTTACTCTTTTATGGAGTTTTTTCAATAAATACTATCATTCTTATCTACATGATAAATTTGAAAAGCAATAAAATAATCGTCAATGATTAAAAACACTAAGTTTCACTAATCACCAAACTTTATTATTTTATAGAAAATATTTATAATCTAAAATTATGTTGATTTACAAATAAAATACATTTTGTTTTCTGTAATGATCTAATTTCTATAACGTGTTAAACTTGGTCCTGGTCAATCAATGGAAATGAATACACTCTATCGTTTTTAGTCATTTTTCTTATGTGAAAATTTTAATCGACATATGTACAATGAATTTAAACAATATGCTGTTGAAGATACTAAAACTGATCATCGGCATATAAATGAATTGTTTTTATGAAAAATAATAAGCAAAAAAATTGAATATTACTATTTATGTATAAATATGGTATTGAATGTCTATTTCGATATTATACATATGGTATAGAAAAACATTTTCATCAACATGTATTTGAAGATTTTCAACAAGAAACTCTTTGTGATCATGAAGCTGGTAATAAAATAGATTACACAAAAAAAAAAAGAAAAGTGTCAATAACAAAAATAATTTTTCTATTTAAGTCAATTATATGATTTAGAAAAATTCTGGGCATTTCTAAAATATTCTCGACAAAAACCAAAAATCAATCGAAAACTTGAAGAAATTTTAAAAAACTATAAAAATCTTGAAGATTTTCGTGCTGATGGTGCATCATTTCCACAACAATTTTTTTCAACAAAATCAAATTATAGTAATTGAAAAACATTTTTTTTTTCTATGATATAAATAATTTCTTTATAGACAGTTCCAACATTCGAAGCAATTGCTGCTGCAGTAGTAAAGAACAGTGATACATCAAATTCATTAAAACTCAATGGTAAACAATATCTGAACGGTGCTAAACTTTATACACATTTTGTTTTTCTTTTGTTTTGTCTAGAAAAAAAA